CATAGATCCAACACTAGTTTAAAAGACAAATATGAGAGGTGAATATCATGATACTAGTAGCTTAGAAAGTAACTTTATAAATACACAATCCAACAGCGAATTAATATTAGAAGATTACAACAGTGAAACAAACATAGAAGGTCCTTAGTCCATTAATGTTGCTATAAGCCAGACATTAAGTGAAAGTAATATATATCATTTGTTTGAAAGAGCAAAATCAAACTTTTCGGAAGTATCCCGCATTGTTAGTATGGCAAAGAACGAAAGCACCTTTATGACCCCTCAAATTTCTACAGCTAATCATAAGCTAATGAATATGCTAAATTATACTGTGCATCTAAAGAAGGTCCTCCAGTAAATTGCCGTAATTAATGATGATAAAGATACTGAAACTTTAGATCCCAAGCATAAACCCATGAATATAGAAGAAGACATCACGGATATTTCTGAAGAAAAAGATATAGTTGAAATGCTTCTTCCAGATGGTGGCTTTTTTATTGGTTCAGGGTCAGCATTGACTACCTGTGGAACAGTACCCTTGTTAATCAGCTACATTATTATGTCTTGTACGATTTGGTCTATCATGAACCAACTCATTGAAATAGTAACTCTCATACCCCTTCCCGGGGAAGCAACTTTGTATGTGTTGACAAGAAAGTATTCAAGTAAGTTTATTTCATTTGCTGCTGGGTTGAATATCTATTATTCTCAAGCAATGGTTGTTCCTGCTGAAATCACAGCAAGTTCTTTGCTTATATCATATTGGACCACTGTTAATTCTGTTATTTTTATTTCTGTCTTTTGTTTTTTAACTATAGCTATTAATTGTGCGCCTGTCAAATACTTGGTGAAAGTGAGTTTTGGGTTGCAAGTATCAAGATTGCATGTCTAATAGGATTGATTATCGAGGGAGTAGTTTTTTTTTGGAGAGAGGCCCTAATCAAACAAAGATTTTACGATTTCATTACTGGAATGTGCCAGGTGCTTTTGTTGAGCACATAAAATCGGATGGGACAGGCAAGTTCTTAGCTTGTTGGACAGCATAGTAAAAAGTGGCTTTAGTTTTGTTTTGTGTCCAGGATTAGTTACTTCTTGTGCATCTGAATCTCAAAATCCAAGGAAAAACATTCCTAGGGCGTGTGGCAGATTCGTTTATCGTCTGATTTATTTCTATATTATTGGCGTCTTAGTCGTAGGGGCAGTTGTTGCTTCAAATAATGATAACTTGATGGGTGCTATCAACTCTGGGAAATCCAATGCTGCAGCTTCTCTTTTCGTTATTGGCATACAATTTGTTGGAATCAAAGTATTGCCTCATATAATTAACGCATGAATTTTGACTAGTGCTTACTCTGCTAGGAATTGTATGTTATACGGTTCTTCTAGGTCATTGTACTCTATGGCAAGTAAGAGAGCTTCACCCAAAATATTTGCTAAGGTGAACAGGTTTGGTGTTCCAATTTACAGTGTTACAGTCTCATCTTTTCCTTTATTGGCTTACCTTAACTGTTCAAATACAGTATTGCAAGTGTTTTTATGGTATTGCTTAGTAATTTGGCCACGATTTCTGGTTTTTTAAGTTAGATCTTTGTATCAATTACCTAGTCTGAGGTATAGAAAAGTTCTTGATTGCCAAAATTTGAATGAGTACCATATAGGCCTAAACTCAAAAAGTTTGGAAGTTACACATGTATTGTATTTTTTACTGTACGTTATCCCTACACCTCTACTTCCTTCATATTCTTTTCCTCAAATTCATAACTACTCTTCTTCCTATTTCCATCCATCCCAATACTCCTTCTTAGTGCAAATTGGTATTGATATTGGACGATCTATAATTGAAAGATTTCTTGTAAATATGGTGTTGAATGGTGTTTCTATAATCAGCACTACTAATTATAGAGGCATATTGGTTTGAGCCGCAAAGTGGTCAATTTATCCACATTTCGAAACTCTGATACCTGAACAAAAATATTCCAATCATTTTGTTTTTAATATAAAAATTATCTAAGGATCTGTCTCGTTTCTACCCTATCATAGGGTATAGTTTGAAGTTATTGATCGAGGGTT